ATTTTGTGTTTGTAATAATAATTGGTCAGCTGGCTGCTTCCAAACAGTGTATTTAATAGATTAGTTATGTTTGTGAGAACACTGATTTGAGTTTGCATGCAGTTTGTCAAAATCTAACTGGTTAATCTCTAAGAATTCTTGTTTTCAGTTTGCCTGGAGTCCGGCTGTAGTGTAAAAGTTGTCTGGAGTGGAAGAATGGGAAGAACAAAGCATTGCTATTTCTTTTTAAATTAGGATGTAAATGAATCAATTTTCTAAATAGTTTATGGTATCCCTTACCTGGTGGTAGTGTTGTCATTATGATACAAAGGAATTTTGGCTTATTAGAGTTCTGTAGAGGGTGGTAAGTCCATTGGAAAGCAGATTTTGTTGGTTCTCAGATGTAAGTGAAGTCACTATTGGTGTCTTCTGTGCTTAACAGTAAGTGATGTGGATACCCCTTGTACATTTTATTTTACTGTTAAAATGTCCTTTTACTGGACAGCTGTATGTTGCCAGCTAATTATGTTTAGTACAAAAGAGCTATTTGTAACAAATTCAAATAGCAATTTGAGCAACATTGCTTCTATTTCTTTTCACATTTGCAAGAGTGAGCATGGATTTAAAAAAATTGTCGGAAAGGGCTGTAAAATTGGTGTATAAATGAGAGGTGACAGAGGAATGGTGGGCTAAGTAATCCAGGGAGGATTTGGGAATAGATGACAAAAGTGAAGATAACCATGGCAGGGTAGAAAAGGTAGAAAACTAATATAAAATTCAAATAGTAAAAAACATAAATGACAAATGGAGATCAGGAATACTGGATTTTATGTTGTACTAAGGTTGGAGGGACCTTAGGAAATGGCAGCTATTTAAAACTAATTAGGCACGGTAAAAGTACACTTCCTGTTATCTGGTTTCTTTTGGTTTTTTTAGTGCAGATGATACAAAACCTGTTTCATTTTGAAATAGCCTACTTCGAGGAAATTTTGAAGAATAGTTAGAAGTTTAGTGTTTTCATTATCTCAGTTTAGAGAGCTAAAGTGCTGTTTTGGTGCACAGCTGGTCAGCTGCAGGGCTACTACTTGAATTCTGAAGTTTTTAGGGCACTTTAATTTATTCCAGTAGTTTAATGAAAGCACTCTTTCCTAATATAAACTTTGTAAAGTTTGCATTTCTCAACCTTTCTTAAACAGCCTTGCTTTCAAAGAGCGGAAGCAGTTTGTGACAGATACTGTTTGCATTTGGGTCAGGATTTTAGTTTGGCTTCAGAGCCCTACACTTCATCCAGTCTCCTGGTTGTTCTTATATGTTGTGCTTTGATTTACGTCATGGGGTGGTTTGGTAGCACATAAACTGCTTTGGGTTTTGGTGAAAGTGAAGTGAAATATATGATTTCAAGGCTGATCTCGGGTAGAGCCGATCTAGTCTGAAACACTAGGATTAAAGTTTCCTTCCCTCCCTCCAAGTGCATGTACTGCTGCCATGAGGTCCTCAGTAGTGAGTTTTGGTGTGTAGATGGTTAGTGAGTAGGTGGAGACCACAGTGATGCAGGTTGTCCCCTTCCAACCACAGTGGAGCAGGGATCCTCACTGCAGCTTGTGGGGGACCCCGTGCTGAAGCAGGTGGATGTGCCTTGAAGGAAGCTGCAGCCCGTGGAGAGCCCATGCTCGAGCAGTGTTTTCCTGAAAGACTGAAGCCTGTGGAAAGGACATGTGCTGGAGCAGGTGAAAAGTATGAGGAGCTATAGACTGACCATAACCCTCCATTCCCCATCTTCACCAAAAGGGTTTTCAAGCGCTGGAACAGGCTGCCAAGGGAAGTGGTTGAGTAACCCTGCAGATATTTAAAAGACATGTCGGTGTGGTGCTTAGGGACATGGTTTAGTGGTGGACTTGGTGGTGTTAAAGTTAATGGTTGGACTTGATGATCTTAAGGGTCTTCCAACCAAAATGATTGCATAATTTTGTCTGCCGGGGGGAGAAACAGGGAGATAGAGGAGTTTGGAATGAAGGAGTGCAGTTGTCTCTGTGAGGTAGGTAGAGTGTAGAGAGAAGATGTTTTAGTTTTTGTCTTCATCACCATCCTCTTTTTTTTTTCCAATTAGCTATGAATTTAATTTTCACCAAGTCAAGTTTGTTTTGCCTGTGATGGTAATTGGTAAATGATCTCACTTTTAGCTTGACCTAAGGTTTTTCATTTTATTTTCACTCCCTGTCCTGTTGAGGAGGGAGAGTGAGAGAGCAATTGGGTGGCCATCTGACAGCCAGCCAAGGTTAACGAGACTTGTGTTCCTGTAATATCTTGTCAAACTTAAACCCAAATACGTTCTTTCAATCTTCTTTAACACTTGCTATTGATGTAAGTCACTTTGTATTATGACTGTGAATGAGAGTTTAGCTGTCACATTTTGTGATCCAGTAGTAGCAACTTCTTTTACCCTCTTTTTTTTAAGCAGATGAAATTAAAAGTCTCTTAGTCCACTGTCACCAAAGGCATCCAAATCTACTTCTTCCTCCAGATCTCTAGAGCAGTGGTTAGACATTCTGTAACAGGATTACTTGCCTGCTCCTGCTCTGCAGTTCTTTGTCATACCAGCAGTGTTGTGCAGCACCACGAAGAATGGGATTGGGAAACCAGCTCAGCTGAATATTTTTCCTCCTGACTGTTTTCCAGCCTGGTATGTTTCTTGATGCAGTTTACATCTCTGCTCTGCAAAAACCATTTACTGGCATAACAGAAAGAATGGAGCCATCATGGTCATGTGAGGCATGCACTGAAGTGTTGCTGCTGGAATCATATGTCAGGAAATGGATGAAGATAGGCTGTATCTATCAGGGTGGTGTCTAGGGATCTGTGAGATACAGGCATGCCCCTCTAGATCAGAGACTCCAAATACATTGTTCTCTTTTAAGTACCAGGCTCTATGGCCAGTAAAATGACTTGAGTCAAATATCTTTGTATGGTTTTTTTTCTTGATCTTTCCATAGTAACTTTGGCCTCTGGCTAGAAATATTTAGTTTTTATTTAAGTTTACGTATTCTGTATTAAATGACTCCTGACTCCTGATTATGGTTCTTTTTTACCCTCTTTCCTGCTGTTTGGACAAACAGAAGAATCCTACAGCACCCAATTCCTTGATCCTTTCACATCCAGAATAAATGTATTCCTTGGCCAATTGTCTTCCCTGAAATTCAGCAGACATTAAAAGAAATAAATTCCAAAGATGTGTAACTTCTCTGTTTATATGTGAAATACCAATTTAGCAATCGGTTAAAAATAAAACCAAAACAATACCACCCCTCAGCCCCAAGCACCATAACTAGTTAGACTTTTAAAACAAGGTGACAAAAACACTAGCAGGATATCTCAGTCCTTTTAATGCACCTGTTCTTGAAGAGCACCAAAAAAGAGTAAAATGCTTCAATACAATCCCCAGTGCAAGAGAGACATGGACGTACTGAGTCAAGTGAAGGGCTGCAAATGTGTTTGCAGCAAAGGGATCTTAAGGCATATAGTACAAGGAAAGACTGAGGAATATGATGTTTAGCCTAGAGAAGAGAAGGCTCAGGGAGATATTAAGAAGGTATATAAATACCTGGTGGAGGTTGTAAAGAGGATGAAGCCAGGCTCTTTTCAGTGTTGTCAACTGACAGGGCAAGAGACAATGGGCACAAATTGAAATACAGGAACTTCCATGGAAACATAAGAAGAAATATTTTTGCTATAGAGATGATTGAACGCTGGAGTATGCTGCATTGTGAAGTCTGTTCTTGGTGGTGCTCAAAAAACTGTCTGGATATGGTCCTGGGCAGTCAGCTCTAGTTTACCCTGCTTTGAGCAGCAATGATTGGAAGAGACAATCTCCAGTGGTTACTTCCAATCTCAGCTACTATGTGATTCTGTGAAATGATCAAACAGGAAGGCATTTCCTTCAGTTTTGCCTCTCCAACTCTTAATTTTTCTTTGCTGCAGATGGTTCAGCTGTAGGACATAAGTGACTAATAGATTTATAGTGAATTTGGCAGTCATTTCTGAGAACATCCCTTCTGGAGGGGACAAACCCCATTCTTTTTCCTCACTAATTTCAGACTGATCTGGGTTTTTTGAAGGGGGAGTAACTGGGAAATAATCTGTGTTACTCCCAACTTTTTAGTGCTCATTTCTGTCTAGTGCTACTAGACTGAGTGCCAGTACTTCTTTCTTCTGTTGCTCAATTTTTTCCAAAGAGCAGCAGAATTTGATCTTTTTTGGAAATGAACTCGTGGCTGTTCACTGTATTCAGAATGCATGGATAGAAACTGTGACTGATCACTTCCACTCAGCTGTAGCTTGGCAAAGCTGTAGGAATAAGTAGTCTTGAGAACTCAGTTTTTGTGGAAGTTTGGGCAGAGCGCATGCTAGTGGGTTACATTCGATCTGTCTTTGGCACATTCCTTTAAAAAAGAACAGCATAGCAGTAAACTGCTTCAAAAATGGTAACAGATTTTCATGAAGCTAATGGCATCTCTCCAAGAGAGCTTAAGTTTTTTCCTGTATAAAAAAGAATGGAGATAAGCACTTATCTTTTCCACTGTGCAAAATGTGTAAGTCAAACTGTCACACAGTTGAACACAGTAGCCTTTGTGATATAAGGTGTGTTGATAGCCTTAATCCCAAAATAAAGTTCCAGATTGCCTGTATATTTTGATAAACACATTTGGGACCCTTTAACTTATAGCTAAAAGATTTCTTATTTTCTTTCTCTCCTTTGTATAGATGGAAGGAAACAAACATAGCTTTCTCAGCCTTTTAAGCTGAGAAAAGGTAGAATATTTCAGGAACAGACTGACAACTGGAGATATGAAGCAAAGTACACTATCTTTTCCCCTCAGTCATATAGGCTGATAGGGTATGACTAGCAGCATTTCTCTGTTGTTAACTTTTTAGTATGTAGTTTCACATTTTAATGGTGTGCAACAGAAATCTGTGTAGTGGTGTAGCGAAGTTGTTAGTCTTTTCATTTCCTTTTTCTCCCACAGGTATCAAGCATGATGGGACTATGTGTGATACTTGTCGGCAGCAACCTATCATTGGCATCCGATGGAAATGTGCTGAATGCACAAATTATGACCTGTGCACAGTTTGCTATCACGGGGACAAGCATCACCTGAGGCATCGTTTTTACAGAATTACTACACCGGGAAGTGAAAGGTAAAATGTAGCTTTTTCTTCATGAAATTAAGAAGGAACAGTTAATTCCGCTGCAGATTTGGTTACTTAAACTTGGATTAGGTAACATAGTGGCTTGAGGTTAGATTTGGTTACTGGTTGTCTGCCTTTGGGAGGGAAGGTAGCTAGGACAGATCTTGGGAGCTTGGAAAACATGGAAATTTTAGAAACAACAGAGTACAGAAAAAAGGATATGATTATTCAGTTTTGCTGAACCTCATTGTAGTCTTCCTAGTGCTTGTATGTAGCAAGCCAGTGTGAGAACAAGAAGAGAAAGGCCCGAGGAATGTCTAGATGACCTTATATTGTTTTCTCTAAGCCGTGATTTACTACCTAAAAAGTTAACTATTTGAGGGAGGAGAAAGGGGCCAAGCAGTGTTATTGAATTTGAGGGATGTCCCATGGGAAAAATGGCAAGAGACATCTAAGAACGTTTGGATGAAGGGAAGCATAAGCTCTACCTATTTTATTTTTGAGTCTGGGATATCGTGTGGGCAGCATATCAATGTAATGTGTGCTGGGTTTTGTCTCAGTTTTGTACATATTGAGAATTTTCTAAAAAGGTGCTCTGAACAAGATTTCTTTGTGTTTTTGATAACTCTTATTTTGGAAAAAAATGGCCAACGTTTTTATGTGCTCTTTGCAGTCATTGTAACAATTTAACTTTTTCCCTTTGTGCCATCTGCTGGATGTTAAAAGTTCAGCAGGAGGGTGAGAGACTTCCTGAAGCGGTCAGGAAACAATCTGAATGTCTGCTGAAAAATACTTTTGTCTGGCAACATTTTTCTGTCATGAAGTAAGAAGTCTTGTTGCATGAAAAGTGGTGGCTTTTGAGATGACAGAAAAGGCAGGAAAATGTTTGTCTCTTTGTTTCTATTATTTCTAGTTAAATACTCATACTCATGAACTGTTCTGTTTGAGTTTATCTACTTCAGTTCTGGTGAAAAGGAAGAAAGAAGTTTGCTTTAGAAAAATCACATAATATGACTGAAAAAATGGGTGCTGATATATTGACTTAAATTTGCTAAAACATGCTATGGAACGCATGTAGAAAATAAACTAAGGCAAGGAGGGAAAAGAGGTACAGCTTTTAATAGCATAATTCTGAATAAAAGTGGCAGGGCAATTGTGGAACAGAAGCATTGGCCTAGGGTGCATCTGAGAGAAACAGAAGTGTGTTTATATGACTCTGCATGTTTCTTTAATGATTTTAATAATAACAGTACAGATCTATATATATGTTTACAAGGTGATTGCTGGTAATAGAAAGTCTGGAGAAGAAATTGCTATTAGAATTAAAGACTCATTATAAACATAGAATAAATCAGATCTTGGAAGATCATGTTTTTTGTCTTGTGTGCTGCTGTTGAAGTTGAGAATTGAATGGATGCGATTCATGCACTCAAATCTGCAGGTGTGGGGTTATTTTTTGTTTTATTTTGGAGTTATTTGCTTTCAAAATGCTCTCCTTCCTATCCCCAAAGATTTGTTTTGAACTTTCTTTATTATCTTGACATTTGTGGGTTCTTCTTTTAATAACTTCAGGGTATTGTTGGAGTCTCGACGTAAATCAAAGAAAATTACAGCAAGAGGAATCTTTGCAGGTGCCAGGGTAGTACGAGGAGTTGACTGGCAATGGGAAGATCAAGATGGTGGCAATGGGCGTAGAGGAAAGGTAAAAATAAAACTGGTTTTAATGAGATGCACCTTCGCATGCTCGTGTAATGGCCTCAGCAGCCTTTCTAATTGTAAAGTAAAAACATTGTCATAAAAGTTACTATTTTAATTTGCTGGACATTTTTAAATCTTATCCTGTAATGCTCAAGCATTTAGAAAGAGGAGGGTATATATACCATAACAATTCTTTTACATTTAAATTTGCATTGTTATGATACCAGCACAAAATTTTTTTAATTACTAAATTTTTGTCATGGTGGTCTTTTAAGACTGACTTGTAAAAACATTAGGTCTTGAGCATATTTCAGGCATTATTAGAGAGCTGGTATGAAAACAGAGCTATCAAGAGTAGCCCTTTCTGGTCATCACTGCATTCAGTAGTCTTATTGCTCATTGGCCAGCAGTTTGTGTAACTCTTGCTCTTGGTTTTCAGTGCTGGCACCTGGGATTTTTGTTTTTCATCTGATAATTATAGGGACTTTTCCAGTTTAAAATTAAAAACTTCTTAAGTGTTGGATCTTGATATTAGATTCCTGGCTTAGGACAATATATGAACACTTTTGATGTAGTTCTATAGTAAAAATATTTGGATTTACTGAAAATAGTATGGAATGGTAAATTGCTAATTGTAACTTTTGCATATTTTCCATTTACAACTTCTATTTACCTTGAGAACTAATCAAGGTTTGTTGTAAGAATGAACATACAACAGGCAGTGTAAAATATACTGTACTTTTATCACCACATTTAAGAATCGGATGCCCTTATGTTTTGGTGAACTGGTTTTGGGGGTTTTTTTGCTTGAATTTATTTTTAGTACACTTAAGCAGCATTTAAAAAAGAGTGAAAAGTTCCTGGATATTATGTTTAGCTCATTTTATATTGTTGCTTAGCTTATCTTATATCCTAGACATTTAGGGAAGCTTTAGGACTTTAGGAGATTTCATTTTGAATTTTATTGAAAAGAAATAATAAGTTTAAATCTCTTAAAGCAAGGGATATTTAGATGCAGCTTTTTTCATCTTGATTATTTACCCCTTCTTGTGTCAAGATACTTTGAAATCTCTGAAACTTTGCAAAATAAGAGTCATAGCCTGCATGGTCTTCTTTGTGTGCTAAACTTGTATTAGAGGGATTACTTGCAAGCTGAAAATATGTATAAATGTATATGAATATTTTTAATAAGGAAAAGTATGTGGTAGATAGTAGAAACAGCTTTTAAATAAATACAAATAAGAATGGAGGCAAATTCTGGAAACTTATATTTTATTTTTTTTAATAATGGCAGTGTTCTCAGAATTTGGTGCATGGCCTCATGATTTCAGAAATGTCAGGGAAAGACATTTTCAGTCTTCATCTTTTGTACTGTTGCTAAACATATTTGCTCTGGAAATAAAACTTTGTCTCCTAACATAGTGCACAGTTACCAGGCTAATGCAGGTTAAACTAGACAAATAGAAGCAATTAAAATAGTTTCCATCCTGTTTTTCATAGTGAAATGCTGCTTCTGATAAGAACATATCACAGCATTATAATATAACTTTTTACAGTTCAGATTTTGTTCTCTGCTTATGTAATTAGATTATCTACCAAATATACAAAGAGAAAAATAGGCCTACAAAGCATATATTCAGTCTGCTCTGGGGAAGACTTGTATCAAACAGAAAACAGCTTTAGAATAAATTATATCAAATTCAGTAAAACTGCTATATCCTGAATTATTTTGAAGAGATTAACAAGGTTTTAAGTTCAGATTGTGCTTCTGAGTCTTTGTTCTAGAAACAGTTTTCTTGTTTTTCAAACTGAATAGGTAACTGAAATCCAAGATTGGAGTGCGTCGAGTCCACATAGTGCAGCATATGTTCTCTGGGACAATGGTGCTAAAAACCTTTACAGAGTCGGCTTTGAGGGCATGGTAAGTGTAAAGGAGCACAAAGGGTAAGATGCACGGTGGGGGAAGGGCAGTAAGAATAACTTGTTGTGCTTTATGGTCCTGCTTTTGTAATATGCCTTGTCAGTTTGCATGCTGTTAGTTAGGTCATTGTGAATCCAGCTGTAAGGGTCATGCATATGTATTAGTAAGAAAGTCTGATCTGGGAATTTATAAAACATGTGAATAACTACAAGTTAGGAGCTGGTTTCATCCATAGTAAATGTTTGCATCACGTACGTGTTTATCTTACTGTGTTACTATTGTGCTTAAATTAAAATTCAGAAAAGAAGAACAAACATAGTTATGAAATGTTTATAAAATGGATTGTTCAACTCCTGAATTCTTCAGTTGACTTCAAATTTTGGTGTGACTACTGCAAAATTTACAATTTTTGAATTACTGTCAACACTTGAAATCCTACTGAGAGCAATTTTATTTTTGTCAGTGGAAAGGTGTTGAATTAAATTACAACTTTATTTGCTTTAGCAGAATTTTTCTGTTTCATTCTGAAGCTTCTCCAGCTACTTTTCCAGCTCTAGAGAAGAAATGGGTCAGACTCTAGCCTAAGTACCTTCTGTTGCTGGGTTTTCTTATCCTAATGTGGGTCAAGGAAAGGTTACTTTGATTATCAACTGCTTATAATGTCTTAATTAGCGTTTTCTCTGCATATTTGTTTGATAGTGCAGAGAAAGACCATGTTAACTTAACATTGAAGTGCCATCTTGTCAGATGTGTAACAGTAATAAAATGCTAAACAATGACTAGTTACTTTTTTGAATGTAAACTGTTTGGCCTTATAGCCTCACTTAACGTTTATTTTTATAATTAAAAAGAAAATAAATACCACTTTTGCAGTAAATATGTATTTTAGTGTCATGTTTAAAAAGCGTAAACGTATTTAGTGCAGGTCAGCTTTTCTGATGCATGAAGATGCTAAGGATAAAATATAAATCAGTATTGAATTATGTGCTTCATGGTGCCCAGGAGTTCTAAAGAAAATTCCTTATATACTGGCAAAAGGTAATTTAAAGTTGTATGTAGTATTCTGTAGTATAACATTAAATCAATGTTTGATATCTTCCCTGTTATATTTGTTTGTAATACATGGAAAAGTAACACAGTTACAAAATCTATATGGAATGAGATACAAATCAGTTGTTGGGGTTTTTTTGGGTTTGTGTTTTGTTTTGGTGGGGTTGGTTTTGGTTTTTTTGGGGTTTTTTTTTGTTTTGTTTTGTGGGATTTTTTTGATGGGGTTTTTTTGGGTGTTTTTGTTGTTTTGTTTTGTTTTTGTTGTTATGGCTTCTGTATTACACTGTTAAAATTTGTGGACTGCATAGTAGAAGTGCTGTGGAATCATTGAAGATTCCTTCTGGCCTCAGGAAAAAATACATTTGAGATAAGTTATATTCTGTTTTGAAATAGTTATTCCCATAATAAAAAATACATTTTTTATTTGTAAATCAACTATATTCTGTTTCCAAGCTTTTGCCACACGTGGAAGTGTAAAGTATTTCTAGAATACTTAATTAAGTACTGAAACTGTAAATTTGAAGGGATAAGGGTAACCCTTCACACAAGTTTTGTAGAAAAACAAATATTTGGTCATTGAGTTAACAAAATAGCTTGTTAAAGTGCGTGTGAAACTACATCTATACACAGTATATTTAGGATAATATATAAAAATATATATGCATATGTACAAAAGGGATAATTTGGGGCTTTTTATGTACTGCTTACATGATTGTAATCCATTCCTACAATAATTTTATACCTGATACTTTTATCAAATGCAAATTTCACTTCAGACAGAATGGATTCTTGGATGTCTGTGACAAAGTCATTTGAATGTAATGCTAAATTTTATAACTGATTAATAACTTGCTAAGTGTACAATTCATTATGATTATTTACCCCTATTTATGTGCTATTATGTAAAGCTGACTAACAAGCTGTCAGGAAGTTCACATAAAGTTGGGGCAAACTTGTTTTGGTGCTTGGAAATTGGTTAAAAAGGTCCAGAGAATGTTGAATCCACAATACTCAAGAGTGTGTGCCCATGTAAATACAGCTGGGAAGAGACCCCAACTTGCCAATGAATAACACTTGACTCATGCTAATGGAGCTGATTAAAGAAACACAGCTCGTTATTGTAAGTCAGGGTTCTTGTTTGATAGCTGACAGGCTGCATCTGGTCCTCAAAATTAATCTATCTAGCCTGCCAGCTTTTCCTTGGGAGAGATGAGGATTGGCTGGTGGGGCAGCAGGTGCTGGCTGAAAACTTGCATTTATTTCTGGTCAGATACTTGGAGTTTTTGAGTTTGTTGTTGCTGTGCTTACATATGAAGTGGTTGAGAGAGGTGTATCTTTTTTTTTTTTTTTTTGTGTGTAGTCTGGCATTTAAATCTGGGAGTTTCTGCTGCCACAGGCCACAAATTCCCGAATTGAAACCTGTGTTTATGATGCTGTTAGGTCAAATGACATGTTTGATAACATGTAAAAAAAAAGTGTGGTTAGTGACACTACTCACATTTCTTACCTCTATGTACTGAGAATCTAGAGCCAAACCCAGCTGTTAACCACCTTACCTGCTTTCCATACATGTGAATGTAGCCTTTTGCAATAAAGAGATACATCATATAGAATTGGAGAGTTAATGGGAAGATTGTGGTGCAGCTTTTTGGGCTTGTGTCTAGGTTTTATTTCTTCATGTCACACAGCTGAGAACGTAAAGCTGGTAACTTCCATTGGTTTTCAGTGGAAAATAGTTCCATCAGCAGAAGTGCCCTAAATTAGTTTCATTTAGGAATCAGTTTTATGCTACCGAATTTCTTTGCCCTGTACCACTTCCCTTTATTTCTGTGATTAACCTCCCCTTCTTGTTTCTCATTATGGAGGATCATGCTTTCATCTGTGTATCCTCTGAAAGAAGCAACTGTAGTTATGATCCATCACAGTGATCTGTAAGCCATCTGTGCTGGTCTACTCTTTTCCATGAATTCTAAAATAGTTGAGTGCATAAGGGAAATTGAGAAGATTCCTTGTCCCTGTGTAATTGATACCTAATGTCTGTTCATCAGCTTTTATTTGGGTTACCCATAAAATTAATCTTTGAAATTACTCCAGAGGATTTTAAGAATTACTTGTTAACACTTTTTTTAAAAACAAAAACAAAGTAAGTAACTTGGTATACTAAACATTGCGAGTGAGTGTTATAAAATAATAGAAATATATTTTCTGCTGCAGTTACAACTGTCAGATCTGTAGTATCAGTCAAATCTTCAACTCTCTAGTTTTTTTGTCTCGTCCCCACTACATTGAAAATGAGGCATTTAGGAAGAAGCAACAAGGATTTTCATTATTTTACTAGTTTGATGTCCTTCTGTTGCTACTAGGTGCTGAACAAAATTGTTTTAAAACACAAAATCATGAATTTTTGGCCCTTAATGCATGCAGCAGGTGTTTTTATTACATGTGATGTAAATTAGGTGTCAGTAAAAAAGTTAAGTGGTCAGTTGTTTTGGAATTCAGAGAAGGATACTTTTATGTATACCTTGTGTATTTACTCTCCTGTAGTCTCAACCAAGTCAAGTTTTTCATCTCGCTGAGTTGCAGAAAAGAATATTTCCATTAGGCAGAAATTTATTTACTGATCCTTTTCTGTTTTTATTTATAGTATTTACTAACAAGGAGGACTGTATCTTCCTTTAAAAAAAGTTACACATGCAAAGTTTTTATAAGTTTAAAATATGTATATTTTTGTATAATATGTATATTGATCTATACATATATATATGAGTATTTCTGTTTATATAGTAGAAGGTTATAGACAACTCACTCAGGATTTGTCTGAGGTCTAATTTCCTCTATAAGGAACTGATGTTATTGTTTCTGTAGCTCACACCTCCTTGTCATTTCAGTCACTGTCTACCGTCTTCTAGTTTCTCCTTTCATTGCTTCACTTTCCTCAGCTTCTTGAAACTGAGAATGATTTGAGTTCATTAAATCTGAAATACAGCATGTCTTACAAACTTTTTGCTGAAACTTATTGATTTATCCAGTCCCTTTTTGCCTTAATCTGGTGACAAAGGAGCATGCACTGGGCTTTCTCCATTTGCCTCCTAAGGACTGACTCCCTTGCCAAAAGCTGTTGTGAATTTAAAGACTTAAAGTGACCTTTACTGGGTGTAGAGGTTTGCTACCTCAAACACCTGCAGCTGTGTCACCATCCTGCTGGTGTATCTATAAGATCGGTATTAATTTCTCTCATGATACTTGCTGCTGGTGTTAGATGCTATATCAGCACATCTAGATCAAACATTCGTCTCTTTCTTAGCAGCACACTTAGTTTTCTTATCAAGTTTGTAGTCCCCCCTCCCTGTCTTTGATGGATGGCAATCTGTATTGATTGGAATAACTTAATAGTTATTCCCGGAGTCAGCTGTCCTTCAGCATCGTTTTTCTCTTCAAGGTCGGGATGATGGTGCTATTACACCATCTGTCAGCACTGTTGACAGTGCTGTAATGTACATTTTTTCATTCTCTGAAGTTTTTATGAAGATGAAATTGCTGTTAGTTTTTTTCATTGGTATAATTGGATAGTAAGTCCAAGTTAACTGTTATATTTTCTGTATTTCCCATTTAATTGAGCAGGTCATGGTCTCTCTGTGATCCAGTCACATAGTGCTGGAGTGCAGATTTTCAGCAAGTCATAGCATAGGTGCTGGAAGACCAAAGTTCTCCATTGTAGGCAAAACCCATTACTACCCATTGCTCACGTGTATCAGCTGTTACTACTGACCTGCAGGTCCTGCTGTACAGTGTATGGCTCCCATGCTGTTCCTTGAGTTCTTATTATAACAATTTCCTGCTTAACTGGGGCTTCCATCTGTAACTACACAAATTCCACGAAATCTGTTGTTTATTTTTCTGTTTCTTGTAAGAATCCTATTTATGATTCATTGAATGATTTCTCCACCAAGTTATTGTAGAAAAGCTGTTTTGTTCATCTCTACCATGTATTTACATTAAGCCCAGCCTCATAGTGGTTACGCTTTTTGGTGGTGTCCCTGTGAGTCTAAAACTTATATTTTAACACTATTGTTTTGGTACATTCCCTTTTGCACTTGCATGTCTTATCTCCAAATAATCTGGTATTACAGTTCATTTAGGAGGCTCAGGGAGACTCATATAACTTGTAGAAATACCAGTGGGGTTCTCTGACATGCAAAGCCTGATGTGTCCAGGCTCTGGATGTGCTTTTGCTCCATCTGCACTAGGGGGGCCTCTTGCCATGCAGTCCCCAGGGTAGGATGACCAGGAGCTTACCACCACCTCTGATTTTTTACTTAAACTACTTGAACAGGAGAAAGCTTGTTTTTCTTTTCTGATAAATGTAGTAGCTGCGTTATAGAAGGAAAATTGTAGTTGCTTACCCAGCTTTTGTGGTACTGTACAACTAAGTACAGTTTACTGTTTAAAACTCCAGAATCTTGTTTGGATTTGATTGTCTTTTTAAAGACATTTGCAGGCCTTTATCATGTTGTTATTACTTTTCTTAGTAGTGCTGTTTTCCAAGGTGCTGAAGGAACTCTCTGTATATACAGTATATAAGTTAGATTTGTACTGCCTAATCTCTGTCAGAGCCTCATCTTTCTATGTGTTTTGGGTCCTCCATTTTTTGGTGAAGGCTTACGTAAACAAAGAAAAATACATGTTCCCTTTTTTGCAATACTTAGATCAGACTCTTGTTTTACTCCTTTGCAACATAACATTGACTACATCATGTAAGTGAAAGGAAGACAGATGTGAAGCTGAGGTTGAACACCAAGCTACCACTTGTTCAAAATCTAAGTATATCATTATACTCCAGAAATAAATTGTGCATGGGGCACAGTAAAGGCAGAGTAAAATGTGGGTGCAGGTGTGTAGATTTCTGGGTTTGTTTTTTTTCCTATAAGATTTGAGATACCTTAACCTGCTTCCTAATAATATCTGCTGCAAGACAGTAATAAGCCTTTTAATGAACATTTTGTTTCTTCTGCTAGCTTTTAGCCATCAGGCTGCTCAGTGTATTAACACTTACTGTAACTCAAGCAATCTTTCACCCTGATTTTGCCTGGCAGGGAGGAGAACCCTCTGTGCTCTATTATTAGTGCTCTGAAGAATGTGAAAGCAGCTCTTGCATGTGTACCCCTGCTCGTCTCCTTCACAGACAGCTGGTTGTTGCCTGACACGGAGGGTTTGTATTCAGTGGGTGACACCTGGTGCTCTCAGGCACATTCAATCCCTGTCTGTCCTGGGAAATGAATGAACTTGCCATCTGGGATGGTCAGCACAGCCCCTTTGTCTGCGACTGAGTTAAACCCGGCACCTGCCCACCGGGTGGCAGCATCTTGTCACAGGCCTTCTGTGCTGGGCTGAGCAAACTCTTTCTCTGGTTTCTCAGGGGATTTGAAGAGTGGCTAAATCTCATTATTTTCATCTGGCTGTTTTCACAATTTTTCCGAAGTGGCAGTTCATTCTTTGTAGATCAGGACATAGACTGAATTTTGTATTGATTCTGGCTGCTTAACAGTTAACAGTCACCGAGGGTAGTCTTGTGCTCATCAGTGCCTTGATGATTTGGAAGACTTCAGAATTTTCATCTTAATGCTTTTGCAGGAGGGCAGTCTATCAATAAATCTGGAGCATGGGAAAAAGAATTGTTCAAGTATTTGCTTAGTTCTGGTTAATTATTTCATTACCACCACCTGTTCTCTACTTCCTCCCCCATCCTGTAGAATATTCTGACACATTTTGCGAACAGTTTCCTATCTCCTTCTCAACTCATCGTGCAAAAAAATGCCCTTTGTTTAGTGAAAATTGTTATATAGGGAACAATAGCAAATGTTAGTCATTTGGATTTAAGGGTTACACAGGGAAAAGACCTAAAGGAAAGGAGAATTATAGAAACTCCTCTGGCTTTATGAATAGGAGTTGGTTATCACACTTGAAACTTCTTTCTCAGATAATATGAAGCAGTCTTTTTGGAGAATGAGCTTTAAAACTTTTCTCTTTAAAAAGATCATGTTTACCTCAGCATAGAGGGGGGGTTTGATTTGTTTTGAGTAATACTCTTGTATTCTGTGTATTCTTAATTGGAAGTTTTTCATTTTGTAGAATTTGAGTGCCAAGTTTTCTTCAAGTTAAACATGGATCTGTCAAAAAATGTTGGGAAGAATGGACAACACTGGCAAACATTAAATGATCAGTACAGGAAAAGCTGTGCTCTTGAGCACTGACTGCAGATATTTGATTTATTTTTTTGTTTCCTTTCTTGTGTTGACAGAATTCTTTTTAAAAGGAAAGATAACTTTATAGAACAATGCAAAGGAGCTTTGTGTTATTTTATTGTCTGCCTTTGAGTTAAAAATGTCTCATCCTTAATAGCCTTTTATATTGGTAAAGATTATTTAAGTCTTGAGAATGATAGATTGGAAAGTATTTGAGATTGTGTGCATCAGTAACAAATTCATAGGACATGGTTTTTGTACACATAATTTTCAGCCTTTCTTAATTAAATGTATTTCAGTTCTAGTTTCATTGACTTGTGTTAGCCTGAAGACTCAGTCAGTGAGGACTAAAGTTGTCTCAATCTCTCTCCATAGTCTGACCTGAAATGTGTCCAAGATGCAAAAGGAGGCTCTTTCTACAGAGACCATTGTCCTGTGTTAGGTAAGTTGAAGATTAATTATTAATGTATTATTAATTTCTGAAGTGATGATAATTCTCTGTTTACAAGTCTTAATCTAATGCCTTGCACAAGTTCTTGAAGTATGACCAGCAAGCACTATTGTTTTATTGACAGCATTGGTGAAAAGCAGAAAACAGTAAAGGTCTGTTTTGTTTAGAAAAATCACCAGTTGCCCAAGGTGTCACTTAGCTATTTACTTTCCAACAATTCATCTACTTGACAGTAAAAAGCACGGCACTTTGATCTTTGTATCTTGCTTCTGTACTTAAAATTAATTCTGTCCTTTTACTCTGATTAAAAATAGAAAAGTAGTAATAAGGCCTCACTGGTTCTTTATTGTTGTGGATGGATAGACCCACCCTAATAAGACCTAAAATCCAATCAAGCTATCATGCAAGAGGATGTTGTATTGGTGTTAATTATGCTAAAACCATCTTAGTTCACCAGACTTTGAATACACATCTGCTTTTTGAAGTCTGATTTGACAGATAAGCTGATAGCTGGCCTGGAACTGTGTGATTAGCAGTCAATCACTTTATACTATAAAAGTATAAAGTCCCCCTTCATGCAGTCAGGTTCTCCTGACATAACCCTTCTTTGGATGTATTTGTGGAGATTCCTCCCTTGGGCTGGGGATGCCCCCCAAGGATCCTCCTCCAGGTAGAGAAAGAAAGCGATCTCCCCACGAGCATTGGTATGGATGAGTTACATCAAATCTCCACTTAATAATGACTTCTTTTTGCCCACTTTAATATAACTGCTTCAGTAATTGCTTTGTTGCAGTGTGCTATGCTACTTTATGCTATATTATACTCTACTAGGAGATTTTTAGCATTTATATTATGTAGTAAATAGTTCTAATTAAGATCTTTTGTCTGATCATTTGTAATAATAAAATATTTATTTTATATAAATATTCTCGTTTTGCCAATCATTAAAACCTGCAGGACAGAAGTTGTTCAGTCACACCTCTGTAATCACTTAAATTTAAACTGTTGACATAATCCGAAGCTAAGATTGGATTCAACTGCACCTAGACTCCTCTCTGAGAAGGGATTTAGAAAGCAAGGGAGTCCTTTCTGCACCTTGTGACTCAACAGCAGGGCTTTTTAATAAATTTTGTCTCAACCCTCTACTCCCACATGCGACAATTGTGGAGGTAACCTTAGGTCCTTATTCAGGCTTACTTTTATGGTGGCACTGTATTTGTATGCATGAATATTAATCACTAAAGATAGCAGATTATTCTTTGTTAAATTCTTCTCTTCCACTATATTAAGTTTCTCTTAATGGATGACAATGAACTCAGTTCATCCTTCTTGGCACATGATGCTCCATCTTCTCAGTCTTACTCTTTGTTATAACATCTTTTATTAGTTTTCTGAATGTAGTTCACAGATACATTCAGGCTGGGATTTTAAATGTATGTTTGCATTAAAAACTAGAAAGTTATTTTTGAAACTTCATGATATTTGAAGTAGAGTGCAACTAATACTCCAGAAGGGTCCTAATTAGTATGGAGTCATATGTATTTGGAGCAAAATACTGGAAATTGATTTTGTTCAATATGACATTGGTGACCTTGATGAGATAGAATACAATTCCAGATGATTTGCAGGTGATAGCAGGTTGACAGAGGGATGTGGTTGAGTAGAGCTTTATTCCCAAGAGCTTTGAGGAAGTGTTTAGTGAATGGAGTTCAATCAGAAGTGCGTTTTTGCACTCTGGTTGAAATAAACCTATGTACCTGTAATTCCCAGACTGGGAATTAAGAAGGCCTGAGTGAGCAGCCTTGCTGAGGACAACCTGGGTGTTGCACTGAATACCAAATTGAATGAGACAGGAATGTGCTGTCATTGCAAATAAGGCTATATTAGGAGTTTGGTGGGCAACAGAACAAGGAAGATTACTATCCTCCTTTTCTCAGTGGTGATGAAGCTGTGTCTAGAATTCCATGTCCTGTTTGTGTCGTTGTCTGGCCATCTCTTCCCTCCTTTCCCAGTTTTTCGAAAACATAGGGAATCTAATGGTGTCCTGCTAAAGTGGTTAAGAGACTGAGAGTGCATGAATTGCTAGGAGAAGGAGCTGGGCTTCTTGAATTTGCTAAGAAGGAGGTTAAGAGGTAATGGACTCACCACCTATGCCCACTTGAAAGGGGATTGGAAATAATGGCACTGAAATGTCAGTGGTGGCAAATGGCATAAAACCAAATGGTGTGTCAATTCCTCTAAATAATGATTCAGTAATTATTTGCTGTGTTATATCTCTTCCCTTCTTAGGCTCCCCTGAGTCATCAGGGCTGTTGCTGGGATGTTTGCTGTCTAAGGTTTCTATCTAGCAAGTTCTGTATCAATAGCTTTTCTGAAGAATTAGACTTTGACTTTGTCCTCTGCAGAAGTGGCTGTTTTCCATGTTGTGTGTTTTGCTGTGAAGGCAAAGGTGTACCTTTCCATCTACTGTCAAGGAGTATTCTCTTCCAAGATACAAAGAAGTCAGTCATGGTCATAGCATTTAAAATTATTGAACATGAGCATTTTTTCATGGCTGTGTTTTTTTTCTCAGAAGTTTCTTCTCCAGAAATGTGTCCCTGCTCATGATGGGAGAGTTGGAACTAGATAATCTTAGGGTCTCTTCTAATCCTAATGATTCTGTGATTCTATAATACTTTTCTTTGCATTCTGTCCTCTGGAGACTTTTAGTAGTGCAGCTAGTGCTGCCAGCATCTGGTGTGGACTTCAGGCTCTGGAATCAGTCTCCCTCTAAATAATGTTTTTGTCTTTATATGTCAGGCTTTTTGTTTGTACTTGCTTATTGTTACATACAAGGATCCTTTCTTCCTTATTACCTCTTCCTTGGAAGAGCCAAAGCAAGCAAACTTCTCTTGGAGACAGCAGTATTACTAAAGAAACTCTGCTCACCTAGTCCCTTGCCACTGATGTTGCCATTGAACTCAATTTATGTGACTTCTGCCGTTGTCTCTTCTGCTGTTCCATGGATGCCACCAGATACCATCTTTTGGTTCTGGCCATGAGGGGGTCTGCAAGTGTGTTCTCTCATTAGTTAACACAGGTTGATATGTGTGAATGTATGCCATTTCCCTCCAGCTAATGAATTTTTGCCGTGACATATCTTTTGAAAGCAAACATTGTCCAGGGAGAAGGTTTTAATTTTAAATTTGCAGGATATTTTTTTTTATGTTGTCACTTCCTCAGAAAGTTAAAAATTGTCGCCATTGGTCATTTTGGACATACTCGTTTAGCCAGTGCTTTTTCCTTGCTCAGGTACTGACCCAATTCAAAACTTTCTGTGGACCTTCTGCTTATCTTTCAGTCTCTGAGTGGTGCTCTGTGTATGACACTCTCAAAATTATCAGAGCTTTTCGGTATCTAGATGTCTAGCACCATATGATAGCTGTTACAGTCCCAGTTAGAGCTCACAGTGTAGCATTTACCAGTGTTGTTGATATTTGTCTTGAAAAGTCAATAAGAAGCACACAATTGCATAGCCAGAGGTTCAGAGGTTTTTTTCTCTGTTGGCCACTACAGTTAGAGAGACTTTGGTGTGGAGTCACTATCCCTGGAAGTGTTCGTAAAATGTGTGGGTATAGGACTTGGAACATGGTTTAATGGTGAACCTGACAGTGTTGCTAGGTTGATAGTTGGACTTCATAATCTTAAAGGTCTTTTCCAACCTTAACAATTCCGTGAGTCTCAAAAATTAACTTTTGTTCTTTAAATTGCCTGGAAAGTTAGTGTGGTCATGTAAACATTATTTTTTTTTTTTTTGTGTTCCATTTCAGGTGAGCAAAATGGTAACAGAAACCCTGGTGGCCTGCAAATAGGTGACCTTGTAAACATCGACCTTGACTTGGAAATTGTGCAGTCATTGCAGCATGGTCACGGAGGGTGGACTGATGGCATGTTTGAAACTTTAACAACAACTGGAACAGTTTGTGGCATTGATGAGGATCATGACATTGTAGTGCAATATCCAAGTGGCAACAGGTTTGTTATATAGCCTTCGTCATTGCTTCTCACAAATTTCCTTTGTCTTCAGTAATTGTGGTCACTTGGTGTCAGAAACTTTCTCTATTCCTTTTAGATCTTTAAGATTTTTTAAATCTTTAAGATTTCCTTCTACAATGTGTAATGAGGAAATTTATCACCTTTAAAGATGCTCTAATGGGAAAAGGAAACTTGTTGACTCTCACTTAGTGAAAATTGAGTCCAAAATAAGAAATTATGTTCTAGACCATCTCATTTCTAAAATGTAGTGTTTTAGGCAGTAAATTCTATTTTAATTATGAAGTATCTATCCCATGGTTTCAAGCAGAATGGTAATAGCAAGTCATTGTGGGTTTTCTGGAAAATTGGTTAAGAGAACAGGTGACAAACTTCTGGGGCATCTTGTCTAATACAGAGTCACCTTGGCATGATCTGTATCTAGCCTTTTATTATTCAAAGGAATGTTAGTTTATGTAAATAGAGACCAAGAACAGGAGGTCTTGATAAAGCCAAAACCACTTCCCGCAAGCAGTTTAGGTTGGAATTTTGATTAGATGCATCCATGCTAACAGGATTCAAACCCAGTTGTCCAGCTGGACCTGAGTTGATATGTCCACATGATTTTGTATTGTCTCAAATTGTCTTGAAAAAGCAGCTGGTGAATGGAATATCATTTCAGTTGTATTTGGAGATTGACCTGTTCAGTTTGTCTAGAAAGGATTAACAGTGTGTTATTCATTCAGGATTTCCCTCAAGATATTGTTTGTTAATATTGCAAACTAATGCAAAACAATACTGTTTTCCCATCTAAAGGGAAGCAAGTGGCTTTTCTTCTGGCAGTCGTGGCAGCAGAGCCAGTGAAAGGAGCCACTCTGTATTGTGGTCTCCTCCCTGACTTAACAGCTAGATGCCTCTAAATCACTGAAATTTATAGTAAAAATTAGGATAGTTTGATTGAAAATTGAGGTGTATCTAGGATATCCATTTAGCTGAAGAGTATTTTTATAATTGAATGTTGCAGCTTTTGACCTGGGGGGGAGGGGCCAAAATTCCATGTTCTTCCCATGTTGTTTCCTGACAGTCCAGTCCTTTGCAAGACAGCTTGGATCTTCCGCTTTTCAACCAGAGTATTCCCTTCTCCCTGGAAAAACAAACAAACTGTATAGCTACTTGCTTGCCTTTAGGCAGGATATTTCTTAATTGCCTTTACAAATGTACATCTCTGAAGATTACCCTCGAAATATTCAATTAATGACCTACAGACAAGTTCATGGACAAAAAATGGTTAACAACAAATATGCCATAGCATCCAAGTGCAGAAAGTTTGTAGGCATACAAGCAGAAACTTGTCCAACAGATAACTTTTAAGCATATATTTCACTTTACGTGTTTAAGTTCTACTTTAAACGATTCATTGTTTAGGTGGACATTTAATCCAGCTGTCCTCACCAAGGCCAATGTTGTCCGAAGTGGAGATGCTGCTCAAGGTGCAGAAGGAGGCACCTCTCAATTTCAAGTGGGCGACCTTGTTAAAGTATGTTATGACTTAGAGCGAATCAAGCTTCTTCAGAGAGGCCATGGAGAGTGGGCTGAAGCAATGCTTCCAGTAAGTAGTTGTGTGTTTACATTCATAGAATGGTTAAAGCTTGTATGGTATTTCTAGTTATGATTGGTAATAATACCTGGAGGCTGTGGGAGTCTGTGATTTTCTTCTAAGTTAGAGAAAGTGTATTTCATCAAAGGCAGTGTAAAACTTGCTCAGATGTAGCAATCTGCTCAACCTGATGACCTTAGCTGAAGGTATTAGCAACTGCACTGTTAAACAATGGACTTCATGAAATTTATATAAAATGTTCAGATTTCTAACTATTTTACTTTTAGCATTATTTGCATTTGATGTTTTCTTTAATGTAGACCTTAGGTAAAGTTGGTCGGGTCCAGCAGATCTATTCAGACAGCGACTTAAAGGTAGAGGTTTGTGGGACATCTTGGACCTATAATCCAGCAGCTGTCTCAAAGGTGGCATCAGCAGGATCTGCTATAAGTAATGCATCAGGTGGTAAGTTTGAAGAATAAACAGGAATGTATGTATGTCAAATAATTGTGTTTAATTAAAAATCTATTAATAAGTACTAGTCCATAGTTTGTATGCAAGGTTAATAATAGACTTGGAGTTGAGCTAATTGAAGTTGTACTTCAGAAAGATACAAAAAAAGTATGCAGTCAATATGGAGATGTTTGTTATTGTGATCAAGTACTTCTGTGTGGTCACAGTGCAGGTGTGTCTTTGAAGGTTTGCTCTAAGGACTTAAAAATGTAAATGGTTGGAGAGATTAGGGAGATTACACTTAAATAGGGACCAAGGCATGAAGAGGGTATTACTGACAGTAGCAGGCAGACTCCTTGTTTAATAGGTGGGGTGAGATGGCAAGCGTAGGTGAGGAATCGGTTACAGGTGGTTACTCAGAATATTTTTTCTTTGAAATTTCTGTCTTAAAAGTCTAGTCAGACATCCTTTGACTAATTATAGTGGTATTTTTTTGGGTCTGTGTAGTATCATTCAGTTTTGTTGAACATGCTCTCATTCATCTAATAAAAAGGCAGAGAGACTGTCCAATGTGTTTTATGTTCTGTTGGCTGTTTCACAGATCAATTAAACTAGAGTTTTTCCTTTTTTTGGTCATAGCTGGTTGTTTTTTCCTTTTCAAATATTTGCTTTAATGCCAAGAAACCTTTCTACATAGTTTTCTAGATTTTTTTTCTAGGGAGGCATAGATACAGTGAGTTTTCTGCAATAAAGACAAAGTCACAGTGGCCATAAAACTAGCTAGAAGAGTAATACAACTTAGTGTTTCAAATCACAGAGGACAGGATATACCTGAAGATAGAAAATATGTTATAGCAATACGTAAATTCATGTTTTACTTCATCCATTCTGTATTTTGTGGGAGACAAGCTATTTGTAGTTCAATCAGCTTTGATTTGAAATGTCTGATGTGAAAGGCTCAGCTATCTAAAGAGTATAATGGTCCAGTTCTTAGTTAGAACTCTGTGATATTTTACAGCTGCCATTTTATGGTAGTTGGTGTATTACTATGTACGTGTTGTTAGAAGCATGACAAATGTGGCTGGGTTTTTTTTTGTTCTTGTGGGATTATAATTGTAATCTTAGTTGTCCTTTGTTTAACAATTACAGAGAGATTGTCCCAGCTATTGAAAAAATTATTTGAAACTCAAGAATCTGGAGATCTTAATGAAGAATTGGTTAAAGCTGCTGCCAATGGAGATGTTGCTAAAGTGGAAGACTTGCTAAAGAGACCAGATGTAGATGTGAGTGGTCTGTTTTGGGAGTGCCTCTTTTGGGGACCTGTAATACTAAGAGAAGTGAAGCTGTTCTGAATACTCCTTGCCAGTCAGTAGTGTGTCTGCTTAGAAGTAGTACAGTTAGTTCCAGTGTCTCTTTTCCCGATTGTTGACCTATGAAATGTGTGTGGGCTGTGTGAACATAGAGCTGTACATACTTTTTTGCTAGACAAACTTTGTGTTGTTTTGTCTGCCATGAATTAAAATACCTTTCAACCTCTGTCTGCCAGAGTTGGCTCAGAGAACCACTCACTCACCATTAGTGAGGGATCTTCAAATTCTTTTGTTTCAAGGGGGATAGAAAGGAGGAGAGTAGATTTGGGGGTATTTTTTTTTTTTGTGCTGCTGTTGTGAGTTTTCATCATGTTTTATTAACTCACAAGGTAGATCATCTAATCTGTTCTCTGTGAGATTCCTTTTACCAACTTGTCTAATCACCTAGTGTTGAAGAGTCTAAAAGAAAATGCTTAATAATTACAGGACTCGATTCAGGGAATTCAGATTTTTAAGTCACAATCGGGTATTTTTCTCACTACAGCAGTAGTAATTCTTGCAGATAAGAGACTTCTTCAGCTCTGAGGACTGATTTGTAAAGATTATGCAAAACACGGTATTTTGTTCTGACTGATTTGTGTTGCCATAAATTAGACAATGAAGTTAAATGTACTGTGGAGCAGAGGACTGGTATAAATCTGAGACCTGTTCTCAAAAATCTTGCCTTTACAGTAGCCCAAAGATGAAAGTTTTTAATCCGAGTATTGTTAATGTCTTAATGTTTTAAATAAATTCGTTTTCTCTTCTTTCCTTCAATCTAAAAATGAAATAGAGAAGACCTAGGAGATCATCTGTATGTGCTAGAAAGGCAGCTAAAGATTGTTCATTTGATTCTATGATATGTATGCTGTTGCTTTAAGTTTTGTACTGCTAAACAGTCTTGTGAGTATTTGTGTGTATCTTACAACTTACCTCCAAGTACTGATACACTTCCAGGTGAACGGGCAGTGTGCTGGACACACAGCTATGCAAGCTGCTAGTCAGAACGGCCATGTCGACATTCTGAAGTTGCTTCTGAAACAGAACGTGGATGTAGAGGCAGAGGTAACCTAAATACTTCAAAATATACTTTGTGTGTCCTTAAACTTTAAACTTGGTTACATACATAGCAATTCTAGAGGACTTGCCTTCTTTTTAAATGTCGGTGAGAGTGAAACCCTGATTTTATTACTGTGATCGTGTTCCCAAATTAGACTCCTACTAACAGTATTGTGAAGGGTTGGTATCTAATTCTTTAACATTGTGGGAAAAAGCTGTTGTCAGATGCTGCATCTTCAGATGCTTGCTGTGCTTCTTATATACAGTGTCCAGTTAGGAGAACGCTTTGAGTTCTTAACTAAGGCAAGTTTAAGCAGAAAGTAATAGTATCTTTGAGTACAAACTGACAACTCTGCTTCCAGGTTTTCAGCACCTTTTCTTTTTTAGCTTCACTGAAAATTGAAGGGTTCCTCTTGTTTAGGTGTGTTAGAATTATTGTTCATGAGAATTATCTATCGGCCTACTGTGATATTTGCATTTTGAATTGATTTTGACTAACTTATTTACATGTTGAAACATCACTGACATTGTAACTATTTCTCATTTTATGAAGCATAAGAGGGATCTGTCAAATTTGATTTTCTAAGACTGAAAATTGAAGCCTAATAGAATGCTAAGAAACTAATTGTATGCCCAGTTATTGTTTGCATAACAGAAAAATAACTTTACATGCTTGGGCATTTGGCATTATATTGTATTTGATATACAGAAGTTATAAAATGTAAAAACATAAATGAAGCAATGATGTAATTCTTGGAACTAAAATTATTTTTATATTCACAGATACACCATTTCTTTATAAAGATTTTTCTGCTAAGTTCTAAAGATGGCTTAGATTCAATGCAGTACATACTTACTGTGGTCTGATTTTTGTGAAGTAGCTTTATTTTAGATAGAAGTAGTGCTTTCTCTGCAGTACATAGCATATACTATTAAAATTAGACTAAACTGCTTTTCATCTGTACTATGGTATTCAGAGCTGCCATGTTAATCAAATGCTTTCTTCTTGGTATAAGGAAGGGTTAGAAGCATTAGGGAGGTAGGTAGAAGCACTGCTTAAACAGTTTCAAGACAAAATACCTGGTAATCTGCTAGCACTGGAATTGTGAAGAGTTCATGTTTGCTTCAGAAGCACCAGCATTAAAAAAAATTGCCAGGGATTTTATTTGAATTTTCAAGCCTTTTTCATGTAACTTTGTGTTGCTTAAGTGAAGATGGTATTCTCACTTAATTATATAATTGCTCTAGATATTATAATATTAATAATTTACATAATATTATTAGATTAATAGTTATATTTTTCAGGCATTAAAATATCAGCTGTTTATAAATTGTCATGCAAAGACTCAGCAGAGCTGTTGCACTAAGGAGAGAGCAATAATTTAGCCTGTTTACTTCACTGTTGCGGTCTGTGGCGTGAAAGCAATGGATAAAAATCCTTACTTTCCTTGCTTTATAGCTGAGTTGGATATATTTACACTTACAGTCATTACTGCAGTGTATTTATGTTCATGATTACGTTTTCTGGGGGTGCCCTCAGGTTGTTGTCTCCTCAGTGTTTGTGTCCCTGAGGGCTTAATGTAGAATACAAGTGGCCTCTGTTTAGTCAGAAAACAGTTTGTTACTGACAGCTCAAAAAACTTGATGTAGATAGTGCATAATAAAAATTTATAGCCTTCTAGTCTGCAGAAATTAATAGATATCAGATATTATATTGACAGTACCGACAACATTATATTGTTGGCATGTATAGCAATACAGTGTTTTTGATATTTTGATTTATATCTAAATATAAGTCTTAGGAGAGATGATTAACTAGTTAGTAGCTTTTTCTGGGTGTATTAATGCTACTGTGTAGTAACTACACAGTGGGATTTAGCTCCTTAGACTATTTGTAGCTCCTTAGACTATTTGTTTTGATGCTGAGCTAAAAAAAAAGCCTGCACAATTTTGGACCTCTGCTCATTAAAGTAGGAATTCTGTACATTATGATTTAATAAAGTAAGGGTTCGTATCTCAAAATTGGAATATGTTAAAACTAAAATATTCAATAATTATATGGGGTTTCATCAGTAAATGTCTCTGTGTACTTTGCAGACGGCAAATATGAAAAGACAACTTAGGATGTACCTGTGAAATCAAGTGCTCTGTAAATACAAATGCTGTAGCAGTAAATACAAATGTTGTAGCAGTTTAGCATTACTGTCACACTCTTGATAAAGTTCATCTCATCTTGATCCTTATAACCAGATGAAAAATCCAGAGAAGTTCCCATTTCTAATCCTTTCCCCTTCCAAATGGGCAAACTTTGGCTTCTTTTGACTGTTTGTTCATGTTAGATGAGCCTGAGAAGGAATCTTGCTATCTGAGAAGACAATTTGGTGGCATGAGTTGATTTGGAAGGCATAAAAGTATCTTTTCAAAAGCTATTGAAACTGCTACGTATTGCCCTGACCATCTTGAAAACCATATCCATGTTTTCAAAAAGATAAATTTGATAATTATGTGATGTCCTCTTCCACCATTTTAAATTCTGTAACTGGTCTCATTGGTAACTTGTAATTGTGCAAATACAGTTTATGCTAAGAGCTATTAATTTTTACACTGATGTAAAATATATTAGAAATGTGTTATACATAATAAAAAGTACTTTTAAAAGATATTGTTGAAGAAGCAAATTGATAAGAGAACCTAAGCTTATTCAAGAGAGCTAGTGAGCCCTTGACCAGCTATGATTTTATCTTACAATTTTCAGTGTTTCTCTGTTTTCAAAATTAAATTCTACAAATGCATAATATTAAACTGTGCACAAATAATCAGTTAGAAATTAGTTTATGGAAGTTACTTCATTGAAACCTGTTATATAGCTTTGATTTTTACTTTTAGCTTTTGTGTGCCATCATTAATGCTGAAATCACTTGATTAATATTCTAAAATGCTTCATGTTGTACAGTCAGCTTTTATGAATGTTAAAATAACTCAAACTGACAAATTTATGACTTTCATACCTTAATCCTCAGTTTGGATGAAACTGAAACAAACTGAATTAGAGTTTCAATTATCATCGTAGAATCAGAGATTCTATTTAATTTCAGTGTCAATTACAAATTTTCTTTGGAAAAGCTGGAAGTGAAAACTAAGACACATACAATAAACCCTAATAAATATTAACTTAATTGTATGAACAAGGCAATTTATAGAATCATAGAATAGAATCATAGAATCAGACGGGTTGGAAAGGACCTCTGAGATCATCAAGTCCAACCCTTGATCCACTACCACCACGGTTACCAGACCATGGCACTAAGTGCCACGTCCAGCCTCATCTTAAAAACCTCCAGGGACGGAGAATCCACCACCTCCCTGGGCAGCCCATTCCAATGGCTGATTACCCTCTCTGTAAAGAATTCTCATGTCTTACACCATGATTTGGAATCTGTAACAGTTCCTGGGTTACAGGAAGGACTACCCTGAGTGTAATATTGTTTGGGGGTTGGATTTTGTTTGTGGATTTTTTTTGGTGGTTTTGATTTGGGTTTTTTTGGACAGTGGTTGTTTTGTAATAGAAACCCAAATGAATCAGTTTGAGTTTGATGAACACATCACACAAAGATTCAGGGCAATTGTTGTATATGGTGTAGAATATTATATGTCGTAGAATATGTATGTGTATATACAAACAGATTCTTTATCCTCTATTGTGGTTTGAGCAGTTATTTTAATTACATATTTTGATGGTGGTATGGTTGTCTAATTTTTCTTTTTAACTAAATATGTGCAGTTGTTCAGTTTAAATTCACCTTCTTATTTAAATGCAAAGGAAATGTGAAATATACACACCTGAATGTTTCTGCTTCAGGACAAAGATGGAGACAGGGCCGTCCACCACGCAGCCTTTGGTGATGAGGGTGCTGTGATTGAGGTGTTGCACCGAGGCAGTGCTGATCTGAATGCTCGCAACAAGCGCAGGCAGACTCCGCTCCATATTGCTGTCAACAAAGGTCATCTGCAAGTTGTGAAGACTTTACTGGACTTCGGCTGCCATCCCAGTCTCCAGGTAAAGTAAATTTTAATGTAAGTTCACGTTGCAGCTGCTGAATTTTATGATTCGCTCCATGTAGGTGAGAGAAAAATTATGGAAAGTGGAGTTGAAAGGAACAGACCTTGTAAAGTTGTCTGTTTCAAACTCTACCCCAAGGTGAGATCAACTGTTATTAGATCTATTTCTTTTCTTGATAGTTAGATTGGCACCTGATGTATTCTAGCCAGTTGATGTTAATTGGTATTTTCACATTGTAATTGTTAACTTTCCCTCCAGATTAATTCCTCCTGTATCAAAACCCACAGCTACTTGCTCCTTCTGCAAGCTACAGTTTAGCAGGTTGATGATATGGTGGAATGTTTCATTAAAAGAAACCTTTTATTTTTTTTCCCCAAATTGACGTATGATTAATAACTATTTAGCCAGATTCTTTTAAATGTTTAGCTTTTTATCTAGAAAGCCCTCATGCATAGGATCTCAAGTACCATATTTCACAGGTAGTTTCATCTATAATGAATGTGGTGGAAGCTGAAACAGAAGTGCAATGTCCTGTTGAGAAGGTAGAGTGGAAATGTGCTATGAAATAAGCAGGTATCCATGCTCTGCATGAGCTGAATGCAACTGCATCCTCTGCATTAGTAAAACTAATGAGAATGGGTAAGTTTTAAGAGGTTTGCATCAGAAAAAAAAAAGGTCTAATGGCCTGGGCAAATGCAGATATGCAATAATAACACATTACCTCCTTGTTTAGCCATGTCCACAATCAGAGATTTTTTTTTTGAAGCTGTATATGCACATAAAAGAAGATGAGCAAAAACCTTCTCGAAATTAGTGTATATAGTGATTGCTTATTTATCTGTTTTCACCTGACTCTTTAAGTGCTGTCTTGATCTTGGTGAAGTTGAGCTTTATGTCCATCCAGACCCTATTTAGTATTTATTGAACAGTAAATATAATAAAGAATCTGATGTGCTGAGGCCAGTAAAGGGTGACTGCATATCACTTAATGATGTATCAGTAGTCAGAGTGGATTTTCCTGGCTTTAAATTATAGAATTTTGTTTGAATTGAAAAATTCAGTAGAATGGTGCTATGGTACTCCATCTGGAAAATATAATTGTCACTGATAAGACTGGACTTTCAAATTCTACATGTGTGCTGAGGAACTATGATGTGCAAGTGTGAGTAGGTGATTGATTTGGTTGATGAGAGCACAGGGAATTCAGACTGAGGCATGACTGGAATTTAAATGGCCAGCATTCTACTACTCCAGTTAATTCACTGTGTAAATACTAGTCTGTAAACAGTAAATTCAGAAAATATGATCAATTAAACCACATAAAACCTACAAAGCTACATAACTAAGTTTTGGCAAACTGGTTCACGCTGGTTCAAGTATTTCCATATTCTGGCACTTTTTCTTTGGCAGTTTTCGATTCTTACTGTAAAGATTTGTCTTCTTACTAGTGTATTGCTAAAATGTTCAGTTTCTGTGTTAGTCAGTTTGCAGCTGACTCAGTGTTGGTGACAAAAGGCTTCCTGACTTATATGGTGTGAGAATTTTACTGGAAGCATAAATGTAGAGATTTTGCCTTTATAGCTGCAAATAAGCTTAAATGGATGTGTCTTCTCACTGGTAGTCTAGGGCATAAATTGTAATATGGGCATCAACTCCACCTGGATGTGAGGCATAGAGAAGTCAATATCTACACCATACTGTTGGATGGAAAGAGTAGTTCTGGCTGTAGTGTAACTGTAGAATTCTGGAGCCCAAGGTAGGGTTACGCACTGAAGCATTTCCAAAACTAGAGCAAGACAAGAAGTAGCTTGCTCTGAACTCTGCAGTATAACAACATTTGCAGGTCTTGAAGAGCTGTTTTGTGTTAGTGTAGTCTGTTTTCCTAGTGATATTAGCATTTTTTTTTTCATGTGGATGCATGCAAAAATTGATGTAAATTATTGCTGGTTTTAGGATTCTGAAGGTGACACTCCACTTCATGATGCAATAAGTAAAAAGCGTGATGACATCCTCGCTGTACTGTTAGAAGCTGGAGCAGATGTTACTATCACCAACAACAATGGGTTTAATGCTCTTCACCATGCTGCCCTAAGAGGAAACCCTAGGTAAAGATTTCTTTTTAAGATAATTCTTTATCATTTTTAAAAGGAAACCAAGTGCACATGAAGGTAGAACTGTGGTATTCTTTCAAACAATCTTTACATCTATGTAGTTGTATTTCTTAAATGTTAAATGCACTTAGCTGTGCATCTTTCTAATACTTGGACGCTGTTACTAGAATGAAGCTTCTAGTCTGCTCAGTTTAATGCTGTATTCAGGTAACTCCAAATTCCTGGGGAATTTCCCGTCATGGCTGTAAAATTCGGCCAATAAAAGTTTTGATAAGTTATGAAGTAAGATCTCAAAGATGGAATCTTGAAATAAGATTTATAAAAATTTTTCCCTTCTTGAATATTGGAATTGGCAAAGGGATTTGAGTTTTCTAGGAATACTTATTTGTGAGTAATTATTAAGCATACTACACAGTTACAAAGTGATCTGAGGATTGTTGCATTAAATTGTACTTGACAGATAAGAAACAGTTAATTATATTTTCTTAGAAGTATGTATAGAAGGAAGTTCCTATTTTAGCTTTTATATAGCGACTCAACTGAAAAAGTTCGTTGTAAGGCATAGTTTGTTTTATGCTAGCAGCATACTATATGTCTACATTCAATCTTCAGTTAGGGTAGCTTTAAAAAACTATTGCATAGGTAGCAATGGAATAGCTGTGTTGCTGGGTTGTCATAGCTTTATACTTTTTTTTTTTTCCTAGTGAATTTTCCTATACCAACTGCTTCTTGCTAGTAAGCTAAGACTCCATTGTTAGGAGTCTGGGACTTAACAGCCACTTCATTGAAATGCTAAATAACCTCGGCACACCAGCTAAATTACATAAGGGAAACTCCGTCCCCCTTGTATCCACTGTTGGGGGGAAGGGAGAGATCAGGGTTTTTTCCTCTGAGGGTGGGACTTTGGCTTTTGCTCGGACTCGGGGAGCGGTGTGGGGAGGAAGAGCTCTGGGTTCATTTTTTTTCGGACGGGTCATTGGCTTCTTCGAGTCCCGAGAGAGGTCCCGGTTTCACCTCTGCCCGCTGCCTGGACGCCTCCTGGTTGCTGCTGAAGACCAAAGGAGTTCTCGTTAGTCTCCTGGTCTGCCTTCTTTTTTTCACTGGACGGACTGGCACTTCTGTCCCTTGCCAGCTGCCGCCTCCACAGCCCCGGGCGCGGCGTGGACTGCCTGGGGCTGGCGCTGTCTGCGGAGGGGATACAGCAGGATAGTCCTTGTATCCCACCCTGGGATACAGCAGGATAGTCCTTGTGGGGGGTGCTCGCCTTGGGGTCTCAGACCCACTGCTGTGACTGAGATCCGCCTTTTGCCGTGTGGGCCCGCCTGGGCCCGTCTGGCGGTCGGCAAAGCGCTCCCTCCCTGGGTTCCCCCCCCCACACCTGCCCCTCCCGGAGGCGCAGCAGCGCCCCCTGGTGGCCGTGGGTGAGGCACCGCAACCCCGCCTCCCGGGCGCCCCCTGCTGGGGGTGGTTATAACTGCAGTTGTTTTGGGGGGGTTTGGTGACGGAGCTGGTGCTGGTTCTGTTGCATTGCACACATACATATATATATATATGTATATATATATATTTGGTAAAGAGCTGTTATTTTCTTTTCCACACCTTTTCGACCGGAGCCTCTTAATTTCAAAGTTATAATTACTCAGAAGGAGGAGTTTGGGTTTTCTTTCTCCTATCCTTTCCTCCTTAGCAAACATTTCTGTCTCATTAAACTGAGACGTGGTTGGTTATTACATTGTGGATAAACAGTGTTTTTCAAAGCTGTCATTCTAGCAAGACTTCAATAATAATTTATCATACGGTGATGGAGGATTCAGTATAGTTTACGCAAAAAGAAATGTGTGGTTACTTGTTTACTACTAAATTCTAGTTTTCAGTCGAGTGAAGTTGGACAAATAAAGTTGTAAATTAGTATAAATTGCACCCATATTAGTGTATGGGATTAAAATCTGAGTTAATCTCTTAGAACATTACTATCAAGGCTGATAGTTAAGAAGTAAATGTTAACATTTATATATGCATATGGAACGGAATTGCACTTCCCAAAGTAGCAGTAGTGGTTGGAAGTGTCAATAGGACCAAGAAATGTGCGTACCACTTTCTACAGTACTCATAAAGGGTCTTCAGAACATGTCAGGGACCAGGTGAAGAGAGCTTACTTTTGGCATTCAGAAGACAATTCTTTCAAGTCTGACTTGGTAACTTCTTCACTTAATGTGAATTCTTCTTATTTACATAACAGCAAGAGCACTGTTTCTTGTCTCAGCTACCTAGGTGGGGTATTTTTTATTCCTTTTTTTTGTTCAGTGCTTTTCTTCAGCTCTTGTGGTAGTTGGTTTGTGTGACCACGATCCAATACGAGGTGCAGCGAAATTGTATGGGAAAAAATGTTCTTCATAGGTGTGAAGGTTTTTCTGTGAGTGCGTGTTTTAGGAGTGGCCAACTGCTACTTTGACAGAGGGATCCAAGTTGTAGTTCACACTGGGTCAGTTTGATGGTTGGTATAATGTCAGGCATAGTGCAGTTTTCCCCAGAATCTTCTCTCCTTTACAAAGGTTTTTATTGGAAGTATAGGAAAATATTTCCAGTATTAGTGATTTGTACCACGTGTGAGTTCCCCCTACACATAGGGTTTCACTTGATATTTAATATTCTTTTTTGGTTGCAGTTCCATCTGAACATTTCTGAAGCACGCAGAAAGAGAATGTTGTACACATTGTACGCAATGTACTACATCACAGAAGTAGTAGTTTCATGTAAAATATGTAATGCTCACAATGTCAGACATCAGCCTGGGAAGAAATGTCTGAAAATTAAACCAAAATAAATGTAGTTTGATTTCTCTCCCGCAGCCAGAAATCATTGTAAGAGTTTAATTCATTTAGGAGTGGAGTTTTATATTCTTCAAGACTTTAGTGACACTTATTAGTTTCATTGTTGATTCTGTAGTTCTACCACTCGCCTGTTTCTGAATGAAACCGAAGGTTTTATATTTGCCTCTGTTTTCCTAATCTGATACAGAACAATGGCTTTTACTCATCTGTTAAATGTACTAAGCACTAAGGCTGTTTAAAACACTGTTAAAAATAACCCCCTGAACTTCAGCTTGTAGCTGCTATGGATCACAAACAGTACATAATAAATTCTGCTTGAAGCCTTACTTAAGGACCTATTTTTCCTAATATAAGCTTTCCTGCTCCACCTAAACTGGAGTTTTTGTGGCTCCCGGATGTGGTGCTTTATATGGATACAGTGCACTAAATTCCCCATATATTCAAATATATGAAGATATTATGTTATTGTCTATTTATTTTATAAAAGTTAAACATATGTTCATATAGGTATATAAATGTGTATACATTTGTGTGCATATCTATAATTCTAAAACTTAAATACTTGCTATATATGCAAGTATCGATAAAGTCCACATCCATCTTCCTTGTTAATGATAATAAAATAAATGCATGTTTTAAGTGCATGGATACCACAATTAAGTGAAATAGATTTCTGTAGTATTTTTTACAGTTTATGTCAAATAGATACTTGGAACCAATTTCATTTTTAGTGCAAAACCTCTTTTTGCCTGAATTCTGACATTTATGAACAATAGGGATATAGATGTCCAAGAAGAAAAACAACCACAAATTATGCTGAGAAGAGTATTCCAGTGTTTTTCATTTTTCATATCAAAACAAATATATTCTATTTTAAACATTTGAATATTGGATAAATATTATAAGAAAGATAGCAATTTATGTCAAATAGGTTAGATTTTACTCAGCACTTAATCTTCCAGGACAGTGCGACAGTGTTTTCCATAAGTCAAGGTATAGTGTATTTTGGAGAGCATCCTATTCTTGCTAGAATATTTTTCCTTTTCGTATTTTGTTTCTTTTTGTACCTTGTGAATTGGTACAGAAGCATAACTTCTGTTTTTCATGCTACTGTATAGTGTTGAAATGTAGAATAAATGTTACTTCGTGCTGTAGGTAGCTTTAAACTTGTGCATGAGATAGAGCTGAAAAGAAATTTTAAATGGAGTGTGGGGAAGTTAAATTTTCATTTAATACATGGTTTCTTGTTTGTGATTTTTAACTGAGTCAGTCATATTAAAAGTGCATTTGTTTTGGATTTTTTTCACAGTACTGTGAACCTCAAAACTTGACAGATTTTGCCTCTTCAGTGTTAATGACATTTTTTTTCAGACAGAAAAAAGGAGAATAAAATTTGAAAATACTGTAGAGATTGGATATTTTTACCATGTTATCATCTCTTGCTTATGTTTGATCTGTTCGCATACCTGTGACTTCAGATTTTTGAGCTGAAGACATGACTGTGAAGTGTAGGCGTATTTTATATCCGTTGTCCCAGTTAGTTTGATTTGCATTGTGTCTTGTGAAGAGAGCTTTATTCACTCTGCAGCTAGGATCTTAAATAGAGGCTGCTCTTAGCTGACCTGACTTCAACATGTGTACAGTCAGTTCTCAGAGCAATAAATTCTGCTGGACTTTAAATTAAAAAATTAAAATCCCGGGGTAAGGTGCAGATCTCATGTATTGCCCTCCAATAGCAAGGAATATGTCATCTTTATGTTCATAAACCGACGAGTAGGAGACTGTGGTTTAAAATAGAATTGTAAGTTTTCCCCGTGGTCTTCTTACTATTTAGGAGATCCTTATTTGTTTTTAGATTTGCAGATGGTTTGAACGGGTTGGCAGTGCAATTTCTAACTGTAGCGATTTAACTGGGAGGTGGGGTTTCTCACCTCTGCTTAGTGTTAATGAGTGTCTCCAGGACTTGCATACTCTGTTGTCATGGAGGTCCTCGAAGAGACAAGTTGTGAGGTAACGAGAGTTGTACAATTATTTTCTAAACCAGTCAAAATGTTTTTTTGCTTTTGTATTTGCAGTTCTGACAGTAAGTGTGTAGGTTAAACTTATTTGAAGCTGAGTGCAAAAAGCGTGTTTCTAAAACCTCTTATTAAAGTATTATGTCAG